TCCCGCGGCATGACGTCTCAATCCGGGTTACGGGTAGTGGAATTTCCGCTTACGTAAGTTCCGGTAACATGTAATATCGTAGTCAAAATGTTAATGCACAGGCTTTTGTTCCGGGTGAAGGATATTCCTTTTCATAGAATTCCGGGGATGGGAATATTTACTGTATGTGCATTCAAATGGGGCCTCTCCTTGTTTAGGATGTGACCGCAAACGTGAAGAATGTTAAATACTTGAAATACTGTTCATCTTTTAGAGGCTTTCCAAAAATGCATGCGTTTCTTCTTGTGAGTCCTAAAAAAAAGTTTGACAGCAGAAGCAAGCTTTGCTGATGAGTCTGGTGCTGGAGACCGTAAACCTTCTTTTCACGAGAAGTGGATCAATCCTGCACCCGAGGACCTTTAAGCACATCACCATAATTCCGAAGTACATTACAGTAATCCTTCAAAGAGTGACGTATGTCATCGATGTGGGAGAAGAGCTGACCCTAAAGACTAAGTAAAGTTGAGATTTGTTTTCCCAAATTTTGTATATAAATGTTTGAAGATAACACTGGTCACCTGCAAATTTTAATGACATATGGCCTTATGTGTCCTTGAACACACTGGTCCCCAACCCCCGGAGCGTGGACCGGCACCGGTCCGTATGTCATTTGGTACTAGGCCGCACAGAAAGAATAAACAGAGATGAAAGTCCTCCGGATTTTCCCGGAATTCTGGATTTTCAAATTTTAATGAAAAATTCTCCGGAGAATTGAGGAAAAATTGCCTCAAATTCATCCGGATATTAGTTGACAACATTGAACGAACACGCGTTTGAGTTCGTTGTTTTGCTTTCACGAGCGTAGCCATGTTGAGGCACGAACACTAGTAACAGTAAAGAGATTTTCATCTCTTTATAAACACACTTGCTAAACCCCATTGGAACGAATAAAAGACGCCGTGGACAAGACAGTTGTCGTAAAAAATATATTTGGACAAAAAGGGAAACACACAGATTGACAGAAAAACATGTCCGTCCGACTTCGAGTGTCGTCTCGGTTAGCTTAGCTTAGCTGTTGTCGTGTGTGACGTCGGTTGCGTCGGCGCTGATTGGTTGAAATCAAAAGACACGCTTGCGTACATGTTCGCGCAGACGAATGCACAGCAGAGAGCAGCGGACGATCTACTGCTGAGGCGTGCTTTGCTCGAGTGGCGTCGCCACAACAGTAACACCCTCGCCTCGCATTCTCATGGCCTCGCCATATCTCGGAGATTTCGAAATTTCGGCGAGAACGGAAGACACAAAGGGTGCACGTGTGCACACAAAAGGCAATATAATTTTTTTTTCCAGAATTTTCAGGGAAGTTCACTTTCATCTCTGAATAAATAACTTACATGACTTCTGTTTCATTTATTTCAGAATCTAGATGTTTTATTTTGAAAAATTACCGTATCCTCCGTAACATCCGTCCACAGTATGTTACTGTTGACACAGGTCAAGGCGCGCTTCTCAGTCACGTGATAGGTTACAGCTAAAATGAAACCCAGGAGCTAGCAAAACGAGTAAAAACAAACGTCTTTGGAAGGTTTCTTTGGTAAGGGGAAAAAGCCCAGCCAGTAGACAGAAGAGGAACCTACTCCTTTCAAGAAAAAGAAGGTGACATTTAATAGACAGTATCAGGATTTCCTATTTAATATACGGCTTTATCTCAACGGGAGATTCCCACGCACCAAGCCCACTCTGCACAATATGCGGCGATGCTGAGTCAACGGGAGCGACACGGCGAGGTTTTTCAGGCCTTGCTTGCAAATCCCAGCACTCCGGGCCTTTTTTTGCTGCGCGCAGCGACAGCGGGACCAGGTAGGCGGCAACCGTTAATTTCCGGACATCGCGAGTGTGCGCGGTGATTTTTTTCAGCTCTTGCTTTTAATCCGCGCCACTCTTTGCCCTACAAAAAATGCAAAACTGCAGGGGGACCTGATCGGTTCACTTCCAGACAGTTGCGCGTTGCCGAGGCAAAGTTTGACAGACAACGGGAGCGACACGGTGAGGTTTTTCAGGCCTTGCTTGCAAATCCCGGCACTCCGGGCCTTTTTTCGCTTCGGGCAGCGACAGCGGGACCAAGCGGGCAGGCGCCAACCGTTAATTTCCGGACATAGCGCGTGTGCGCGGTGATTTTTTTTCAGCGCTTGCCTATAATCCGCGCCACTCTCGGCCCTGAAAAAAAGGCACAGTTTCGCCAATATCAAATGTGCCCGATGGCTCACTTCCCGACAGTTGCGTGTTGCAGAGGCAACGTTTGACAGACAACGGGAGCGACATGGCGAGGTTTTTCTGGCCTTGCTTGCAAATCCCGGCACTTCGGGCCTTCCTCGCTTCGCGCAGCGACAGCGGGTCCAAGCGGGGGGGCAACCGTTAATATCCGGACATCGCGCATTTGCGCGGTGATTTCTTTCAGCTCTTGATTTTAATCCGCGCCACTCTTGGCCCTACAAAAAATGCAAAACAGCTGGGGGACCGGATCGGTACAGTTTCCACAGTTGTGTATTACCACGGCAAAGTTTGACAGCGCGAGCGACCTGGTAATGTATTTGGAGGGCTTTACTTGCAAATCCCGGCACTTCGGGCCTTCCTCGCTTCGCGCAGCAACAGCTGGTCCAAGCGGGCGGCAACCGTTAATTTCCAGACATCCTGAGTGTGCGCGGTAATTTTTTTCAGCTCTTGCTTTTAATCTGCGCCACTGTTGGCCCTACAAATAATGCAAAGCGGCAAGGGGAGCGGATCGGTTCACTTCCAGACAGTTGCGCTTTGCTGAGGCAACGATTAATTATCTTCACAAGCCGGGCATTTTGTGTTCCTGATGATTTTTCGAGGGTAACAAATAATATGGTCATCTTTCAAAAGGGTGCAATGAAAAACTGTGACCACTAAAGGGCAGTAATCTACTTTAGCCTTGCACGTCCCAATGGGGCCTTTCTCGCAATTGAGAGTGAAGAAGATCCGAAAACAAGGTGGAAACAGCGGTGAAAAATGACCGTTGCGAACTAATTGTAACGTTTGTTGTGTTCCAAAATAATAATAAAAAAAAAAAATCCACCAAATGTCACACAATTGTCTTCACAGGGGGGGCATTTTGTGTTCCTGCTGATTTTTCGATTGTCATCAGAAATCGTGTGGTATTCTTCAAGGATGTTGCAATGGCAAAATATTACCAGCAGAGGACAGTAACGGACTTCTGCCGTGCACGTCCCAATGAGGCTCTCGCAACTGAGAGCGTAGGTCAGATCACAAGGTGGAAACAGCGGGGAAGAACCACCGTTGTGAATTAACTGTCATTATGTTTTCGTTCAGAAATGTAAAAAAAAATCCATAAAATGTCACAAAATGATCTTCACAGCGCTGCCTTCATGTGTAACTGCTGATTTTTCAAGGGAAATAAGAACTAATATGGTCATCTTGAAAAGGGTTGCAATGACAAACTGACCAACAGACGGCAGTGATCGACTTTTCAGGGTAAGAAATACAGCAAGATGGTACCGTATTTTCCGCACTATTGGGCGCACCAAAAAGTCTTTCATTTTCTTAAAAGCTCACCGAGCGCCTTAAAATCGGGTGCGTCTTTTGTATGGTCATTACGGTAATACGGAGACTCCAAGATGGCTCCTTCCTGGAGACATGCTTCCAATGTGATAACTTGCTGTTGGTTCAGTGAACTGTTTTAAATAAGTATGTGTTGCAGCTCTGAAAAAAGGAGAGCTGTGGTGTTAATTTTTTTAAATCAGTCTCAACAAATATAGGTACGTCTTTGTCTTTGTACACAACAAAGGAATAAATAACTACGACTGACATCTTGTGTTATTTTGACTTCAAGATGGCGCCGCGAGAGTGGCTGCCTTTCCAGCAGCTATTTATTTTGTTCTTCTACCTCTTCCTCTCATAACTTTGCTGCTGTGAAGTGGGAATTTCTCCATTGTGAGACTATTAAAGGTTTTCTTATTTTATCTTATCTGATTGTACTCTTGGAGCTACGATAAAGGACATGCCAATGGGTTTTTCGGAGGCGGTCATGAACGCCTCTCGAGTTGACCGGAAGAAAAGAAGGGA